ACCCCTGTCCGTGCCACCCCCTCTCGGAGCCAGGGCCGGGAGTGGGGCCGCAGTTCCTGGAGCGGGGGGCACAGACAGAGGAAAGGAGGCCGAGACTGGAGCCACAGCTGGGGTCGGGCACAGAGTCCCAGGCGTGAGGCCGGCAGCCAGGACCCCAGCGCAGGGCCAGAAGTGGAGCTACAGGTGCGGGGCCAGTAGCCGGAACCCTGGGCTTGGGGCCGGGAGCGGAGCCCTGGATGTGGGACTGGCAGCCAAGACCCTGAGCATGGGGCTGGGAGCAGAGCCCCAGTCATGGGCCAGGAGAGGAATTCCAGGTGAGGGGCCTGGAGCCAGGACCCCACGTGCGGGGCCAGGAGTGGAGCCCTGGGCGCGGTGCTGGCAGACGGGCCCAAGAGCAGAGCTGGGTGGCTCCCTCCCCATCCCTTGTCAGGGCTGGGCCCGGCCTCAGCTGTGCCCCCCGCAGGGCTGGCTTTAGTAAGTGCAGGCCGATTCCTGGGGCTTGTACTTACTGGGCGGCGCTCCAAGTCTTTGGCGGCACTTCGGATTGCAGGGCTCCGGCCGGGGGAGGGGTCTGCGGGGCTTGCGGCGCTCCGGCCGGGGTAGCGGGGTTGCTGGGCTCCGTTCGGGGTAGCGGCTGGGGTAGCGAAGTTGCTGGGCTCCGGCCGGGCTAGCGGGGCCGTGGGGCCGCGGGGCTTGCCGCGCTCCGCTGGGGAAGCGGGTCGCACGGTTGCAGGGCTCCGACCGGGGTAGCAGGGCGCCAGGGCCGCGGGGTTGCAGGGCTCCGGCCGGGGTACCGGGGCCGCAGGACTTGCAGCGCTCGGGCCGGCGCTCCAGTCGGGGTAGCGGGGCCACGGGACTTGCCGCGCTCCGGCCCGGGGAGCGGGGCCGCGGGCTTGCCGCGCTCTGGCTGGGCGCGGGGCCGATTTGGGGGAATCAGCCTAAAGCCGGCCCTGCCCCCCCGAACACTCCTTGGTGCCCCGCTAGGGGGATGCCCCATAGATTGGGGACCTCTGGTCTAGAAAGAATCTGAGAAGGAAACAAGAGAAAGATTTTCAAGCGCTCACGTCCTTCATTTCTGTCAGGATGGCCTGACAGCAGGGGAGAGGTCCCACCTGCCTTTCAAGAATAGTGGAACTATTGAGACTAGCTGAACATACAGGATAGCATCATATGTACAGACGGCTGAATCAGAATAGCCAGATCACTGAGGACTGAAACTCTTTCAGGAACACATCGGAGCTATTCCAGAAGAGAAGCCTGTCTCCAGTAGCCAGAAATGCTGTAGACTGGGCAGATGTACCAAGGATCTCTGAGACCTGGTGAGCAGCTGGGATACACCTGGGGAAGACCATGCAGCAGAGAGGCAGTGAAAATCCACAGCCTCCCCAACGTATCTTGGAACAACGTAGGAACGGACCTTTTCACCACAAATGACCTCATTGCTGTAGACCACTATTCAGACTCCTGGGAAGTAGAAAAACTGTCAGACACTCCCGCAGCGACCATGACAGCCTGAGCAAGGTGTGGTATCCCAAACGGTGTCGTTTCAGACAACGGGACTCCAGTTCACTTGCAATGAGCAGTTTACCTGGGACGGGAAACTCAGTCAAATCACATCACCACTTTACCACAACCAGTCAAAGGCAATGCGGAATTTGGCAGTTAAAATTGTTTAGATTCTATTAAAGAAAACTGAAAAAAGCAGAGAAAATATATGGCAAGCCATTCCTCAGTGGAGAAACATGCCCACAGAAGGCCTTACTAGCTGCCTGGTGCAACACTTGCTATCAAGCTGAACACGTACCTTAGTGCCTATAACGCTAGCATTATTGCAGCCAGCAGAGGTGAACGGAGTGACAGACAAAAAGGAAGAGAGATGTGAAAAAGCCAAAGCCTGCTGTGACTGACAAGCTAAAGACATCCCATAACTACCACCAGGAGACCCTGTTGAGATCAAACTACTTCCTCAGGACAAATCCTGCACTTGGAAGCAAGCTACATGTGTCGAAGTTAAATAATAAAGCAGCGGATGAGCAGCTATTTCACCGAAACGTTAAATAGTTTCCTACTAGGTATCCAAGACAAGAATGTGGACGTGAATGAAATACGCACTATGCTGAGACTCGATCAGCAGGACAGGGAAGGAACACAGATGGATGAGTGACTGACTGATATCAGAACAGACTCTCAAAATACAACCGAACCAGCACATATGCCAATATCAAACCGCGCTCAAGGTATACACCCAACAATACTAAGGCGTGAAAGAACAACCTTCCCAAACCCAGGGGAAAATACCTTAGTTGCCAAGCAAGTTAAGAGTTAGTTTATGTAAAAACAAACAACAAGCTGACATTAGATCTATGATAATACATACCTTATGGGCATATGATATAATGTTAAGCATGTAGCAGCTTATGGAAATCATGGTTAATTTTGCTATCTCAAATAAATGTGACCAATGGGATGTTACTATCAATAGCTTCCCAATAGGGGGTGCTAGCATGATTATGTCTAGGAATGGAGAGAACTGGACTTTCAAGACGTGCTTGACGAGAGAGAACAGTACATGGGAAGGAAAGAAGGAAGCCTGAATGTTGCACTGTCTGCAGGGCCGTCCCTAGGATTTATGGGGCCCTACGCAGTATTATTAAACTGGTGCCCCTATGCCCGACGGCAGCCAGGGCTCGCAGCCTGGGGTGGGGAGGGACGTGGCAGCAAAGGATACTGAGCTGCCTGGCCCACCTCATGGCGGCAGAGAGTCACAGTTCCCTGCAGAGACCCCTGTACCCTCTCCCTCATGCAGAATGTGCGGCGCTGGGACATTCGGCTCTGTGAATACAGCCCCGGCCTAAGGACACTGCAGCGCGCGCTGGGTGTGCGGGAGCCGACCCGCTCTTACCTGCTGTCATGGGCGGTGGGTAAAGCTGCCGCTTGAGGAGGCTAGCTCCCTAGCCCACCTCTTCTGCGTGTGGACCCACCCATACTTCACCCCTGCTCTGGCCCAGGCCCCACCCCCACTCCCCCCAGGCCCCACCCTCTTCCCACTGTCTCCCTCCTCTCTTCCCTCCCCTTCCCTGCTAACCCCCTTCCAGCCAAATCCCTGAACCCAAATGAAGCAAATGACATTTGAAAAACAAAACAAAATGGAGCATGTTTTCCACCGCATGCCAGATGGTGAAGACTGGACATGCAGAAGGTACCTAATTAAAAGCACTAAACTTGGGAATAAAAAATGTCAGTCACAGGTTTTTTGATATACCCTGAAGTTTGTCAAAGATTTCTTTGCAAAAACTTTGTAGTAAGGGCAAGTCAGTTGTCCTGCTGAATACAACATTAAATATTATGGAAAACATGATGCAGCTCTTCTGTTTTACATTTTCTTAATCAGTATTTCTAAGCCTTCATAAAGTAAGCATTCCAGATCACTACATATTTAACTCACTGAAACAAAGACATTATTTTAAATTAATCAGTCACAGAGGTTTAGTGTGTTCATAACAATGTTCGTTGCTTTCAGAAAAAGGGAACACTAATTTACTTTGTGTGATCTCCATAACAATAGTCATGTTTATGAAATTTCACCAACTTTAAAAAATATGTTTCCAAAGATTTTAGGCATAACAAAGGATTTTATATTTTTCTAAGGTACAGATTTTGCTGGAGGGTTCTCTTAAAACTAATTAATCGAATAGTCAGAAGTAAAGAAAGGGAAACTCGTTTGTCCAGCTATCTGGAAGGAAAGGGGCTCTCTTCAACAGCGGGGTGAAGGGAGAGAGGGATGGACAGAAAGGACAGGAAGACTTTGGAAGCACATATTTTGTACTATAGCAATTAAAATTAAAATGTGTATTTTAGAGAAGGGTGGTCTTTTGAAGGATTTATTTAAAAGATATGTCTGAAGATCCAAGCATTTAAGGCTAAAGATGAATACTCAAATTGTGCATTTAAAAATCTATGCAAGGATTTTTTTAGAGATGTGATTTTATAATCTTCACCAACTCACTAATGAAATATTTTTAAAGAAAATTTTAAACTAAGGTCCTGTAGACTGACATGTTCTGACTAAATATTACAGTAATGCACAACTGTTTTTGTCAGTAAATTCAGAAACTGACAGTATATACCTGGGGGTTGGCAAATGCCTGTTAAATGGCTTCAGTACCACTCGAATGGCTCTTTAACAGTTTCAATGTTGTGCTAATAGGTCTGGCAGGCTGGAGGCTTCTTCACTTTTAAGTACTAGATCCCCTCAGGAGGAAGACTCACCAGGCTGCAGCAGCCAGCTGTGGTGGGAGCCTGCAGGAAGGGTCAGAACAGGGATAGGAAAAGGTGGAAGGGTGGACACTAAGGCCTGGTCCACACTAACCCCCCACTTCGAACTAAGATACGCAACTTCAGCTACGTGAATAACGTAGCTGAAGTCGAAGTACCTTAGTTCGAACTTACCGTGGGTCCAGACGCGGCAGGCAGGCTCCCCCGTCGACTCCGCGTACTCCTCTCGCGGAGCAGGAGTATCGGCGTCGACGGCAAGCACTTCCGGGATCGATCCCAGAAGATCGATTGCTTACCACCGGACCCGGAGGTAAGTATAGACGTACCCTAAGGCCTGGTCCACACTAACCCCCCACTTCGAACTAAGGTACGCAAATTCAGCTACGTTAATAACGTAGCTGAATTCGAAGTACCTTAGTTCGAACTTACCGCGGGTCCAGACGTGGCAGGCAGGCTCCCCTGTCGATGCCGCGTACTCCTGTCGCCGAGCTGGAGTACCGGCGTCGACGGCGAGCACTTCCGGGATCGATCCCAGAAGATCGATTGCTTACGGCCAGACCAGGAAGTAAGTGTAGACCTGCCCTAAGACCCAGGGGTGCCCCAAATTTTCAGGTGCTCTACACAGCCGTGTATGCTGCGTATGCCTAAGGACGGCCCTAACTGTCTTGGTCCTCTCTCTTTGTATGCTTGAAGAGGGAGTAACCTGCCAGTCCTACCCACAGGTTTCAGAAGCCATCGCTCCGCAGAGGCCCGGGTAGCTCCGAGTCACTGATCAGGATATTGGGCTCTGTTGAGAGGAAGGTGGTGGACTCGTGATTCCCCTCACACATGGTGTATTCCTCCAAGTGCTGCTGTCTGATGTGCTTTAGGATCTCCTTTGACAGGAAATGGCTGTCGCTGTCTCCCGACTCTGGAAAATAAAACAGAAAACAAACCCCACCGGCTTCAATGGGCTGGAATCCAAGGCAAGCTGAGTCTCCAGCAAGCAGAGTCTCCAAACCCTTCAGCAAGAAGAGGTACCATTGCTGCCCATGCATCTTACACCTACTCAGTGGGGCACTCTAGTGGCAGCCAGGCCACAGCTAGAGGTCCAGGAGCTTCGTACAATATGAGTTAACCTAAAATTCACAGGTTCAAGCCTTGCAGCTGCCAATGCAGCTAGGTGTCTGGCATTGGACTTGCTGATTGTTGGAAGAAAGGGTGAAATGTAAAGCTGCTGGATGCTCTTCCATCCAAACATTTTGGGGGGAGGGGAAAGAAAACGCCTTTTGACCAAAATGAAAAATTTCTCTCTCCCATGCTCCAAAAGGTGGAAACATTTCATTTATCAATGAATTTCAAAAAGAATTTTTTGAATTTTGTTGAGAATTTCCATTTTGGTAGGAACCCCTGCCCCCTCCCCCAGTTTTACATTTTTTCCCCAGTGGAAAACGGGGGAATACACATAAACAAGTGAGAGAAAGTAGGGGAAAAAAACCCATTCTCACACTTCTTAAACTTTTCCCACCCTTTCTCCAGTGGAGAAAAGTGAAAGAGTGAGAGTGAGTGGGTGTGTTTTCCCCCCACCAAAACAAAACTAAAAAAAACCGGAAAATTTTCACTCAGAATTTGAGCAAAATGAGAAATGTTCCTCTCCAAGTGTTTTTTCAGGAAGCCCTGCTGGGGTTTTGTCATCCAGTTCCAGCAAACTCAGGAGAAACAGGCAGAGGGCAAAACTGGCTAAATGGGGCTTTCCTACCCCACAGCATCAGAGTCACCTCTGAGGGATGGTGGCTGTGTTTTGGGATCCCCCTGTCTTAGAGCCGGGGGAGGGGCATCGGGGACCCCATTAATCAGGAGGCCTTGCACATGAAAGGTCCCCAGTGCACTGCAGAAACCTCCCCATGGCCCAAGGGGCTGTGGTGTGAGAGGACCCAGCCACCCATGCCACAGGAGCCCATGTGCATTAAAGGGCCCACGTGACCTATGATGGGGACCCTGAGCCACTCTTACCCAACACAGTGACACCAGAGAGCACCAATGAGATGATGGTATAATCCTGATACTAACTGCCATGCTGGGCGTGCGCCGGAGGCCGCAGTGAGCTCCTGTGCCTGAGGATCAGGGCGTGGAGAAAACCCCAGCACTTCTCCCCTTGTGCAGTCCCCCAACTCCTCACCCTCATACACAATGAGCCGGTAGCAGCCCGCGCATTCCTTGGAGCGCTGTAAGATCTCCCCCAAGGTCCTACAGAAGAGCTGGGCTTGCTCCAGGCGATCCTCCCGGCCAAAGGCGGCGCTTTCATCTTGGGACATAGCGTAGAGGGACTGCAGCGGGGGGGCGTACTCCACAATGCAGTAATTCAGCTAGAGGGACGGGAGAGGGAGAAACCTGGGCATTACCCCAGCAGTCCTGAGACCACGGCTAAGGCATCCCTCCCCAGGCGGCTGGCCCCCGGGAATCCCAGCGCTGCTGGCTGAACCCTTTGGTGCCCCCTCCTATGCACAACACAGCAGCTGCCAGAGCTCTGCCAAGCAGGGTCAGACCTAGGCTTTTGAGGGCCTTGTGTGCCCATGCAAGGACCACCCCAGCTCCCTCCCCACTGGACCCTGGTCCTGCTGCCTCTGGGCAGCCAAGAGACTCCCCACAGCTGCTTTCTCTGCCTGCTCACGAGCATGGGGGTGGGTCTGCCTCTATGCTGGGCAACCGGACTGGTGCAGTCAGCACTCTGCTGTCCAAGCGGGCAGGGGGACAAGGCACTTCAGTGTCTGCCACGGCCTGATAGTGCCAGAGACAAATGGGAACAGGGAGAGGGAATCAGGGACGGTGATCAAGCTGGCAGTGTGTATATTGGGGGATGGAGGGAGGCTGGAACAGGAAGGCCTTATCCTACTGCATAGGGGTATATGCCCAAGGCTGTTTTTGCTGCCAATACAACAGGGTCAGTGCTGCTCCTGGGTGTAGCTGGATTTAGTGCAGACAGGAGCTTTGCTGTGTAGAGGGTTTGCATACAGCTAAGTAAACTGGGATTTTCCTGCAGAGGTTTATGGCTGCAAGGAAAGGCCTTGTGTGAATCCCAGGGCTGTGCAAAGGCATGTGCTTCTCTTCATCCCAACTGCTGGATGCTGTTCTGAACTGGCCCTTTGGAGGCTCTACAGCCCTATCTTGGAGCCCCACCTTTACACTATTCATGTCTCCTGGCTAGAGATGGGCCCAAGCCAAAATCCAGCACCTGAATTTCTCAACCCTTGGGGGAATTTGGATCCACAGCTAAACTTTGTGTCCCAGGCCCGTCTCTGCTCACATCCATCCTTCCTGTGGCCCTTCAGCTAGAGAAGCGTGATGATAAATGTACCTTTTTGTCTTCACCCAAAATTGTATAGATGCTTTGTTTGTAGCTTCTCCATTTAGTGCCAGCACGGTCCAGTTGCAGAGCCGGGAGATCCTTCCAGTACTGGATGTGGCTGTCAGCCTTCTGCAGGTCATCGTATATCTCACAGCTCACTGGGAGAAGGATGTGCAATTTCCAGGTCTCCTTGCACTTCAGCAAATTGTTATTGGCTCTGTTGAACTCACTGATCAAGTCTTTAAGGCCTTAGAGGAAGAGAACATGGAGCAGAGACAAATGAAGTGAGGGTAGCAGCTTTCTGACTGGCTAATTGGCTCCCCCTTAACGTGTACAAAGGAGGAGTTTTATTACAAAGGATTTTGTATTCCCATACAAACAGGGAAACAACTACTTACGTGGCAGAATTAACTTTAAATACCCCACATAGTAAGACCAGGCTAGTCCATGTGATACGTTGCGGTTGTTCTTTTCACAGATTTCAGACATTTCCACTGCAGAGGGACTCTACAGATTGAAGGAAGAAATGCCATAACTAAACCATCTCACAAGCTAAGCGGGATTTCCTCCCACACCCACAGGTGACTGTGTCTCCTGCTGTCTCTCTGAATACACCTGAAAGGCAAGCAGCCATGCTTTCCCTTGCATGAGCCATACACTGCAGGTCTAGAGCTCCTCAAAGAGCTTTATAAACCCAACCCTACTCAACTCCCGCAGCATCCCCACAAGGCAGGTCAATCATCATCTTCCCTTAACAGATGAGGAAAGGGTGGTCCACCAGGGTTAAGTGTCTTACCACAAATCAAAGAGTAGGCCCGATTCTGATCACACACACATGTGTAACTTCCAGGTCTGCTATATACCACTATGAGGTCTAAGGCTTCAGTGGCACAGTTGGGAATACAGCCCAGAAATCCAGCCTGCAAATGCCACCTAAGGGTCTGATAATTTTAGTGTGGACCAGTGGCTGGAAGCCCATGCTGTCACACAGGTGTGGCAGCTAAGCCACGTGATCTATCATCTGCACAGTCTACCTCTACAACCCATGAAGTTACTGCATGCAAATTAGCTGTAGAATAAGGGTGGTGATTGGCTGAGTTACCTCTGATATCACCATGGCCTAGGACTCTTGGCATGGCATAAATACATGTCTTGCTGTTGCAGGGGTGAAGTCTGAGAAGTCAAAATGGCCTAGAATTTAAAACTTGGATGGTAATAGATAGTGAATCCCAGTGGCGATTGAACCTGGTGATATTCTAAACAAAAGAACTCTCAACCATGTTTGTAGCTGTGTCCATCACTTCACCCTGACTCATCAGAGAGTCTAAATTTCAGCGTGACACAGAGACTGGTGATAATCCCAGAATTTTATTATATAGATTAGGTGTTCAAACCCCTTGGGCATCCTAGATCCTCCTTTCACACCAAAATCCTCTCAGTTCAAAATTTCTGTAAGGGTCTCTATTTCTCACCATGGGCCAAACTCTGCTCTCAGTTCTAGTGGTGTCGTAGATTCCAAGGCCAGAAGGGACCATTGTGATCACTAATCTGACCTCCTGTATCGCACAGGCCAAAGAACTTCCCCAAAATAATTCCTAGAGCAGATCTTTTAGAAAGACATCCAATTTTGGTTTACAAATTGCCAGTGATGGAGAATCCACCATGACCTTTGGTAAATTGTTCCAATGGTTAATTACTCTCACCATTATAAATGTACGCTTTATTTCCAGTCTGAATTTGTCTAGCTTCAACCTCCAGCTATTGAATCTTCAATCTAACAGCGAAAACTATAAGAAGAACCCATTATTAAATATTTGTTCCCCATGTAGATACTTACAGAGTGTAAACAACTCACTACTTAATCTTCTCTTTGCTAAAATAACTAGATTGAGCTTTCTGGAGTCTATCATTGTAAGGCATGTTTTCTAGTCCTTGAATCTGGAATGTCAATTCAGAGTAACCCTAATGAAGTCATTAGAAATACCCTGGTTTTACACTGGCGTTATTGAGAGCAGAGGGCAGCTTTGTAAGCCTGCAGCACTCCCATTATTTAACCCTTTGGAGACAGCAGCTAAATATACTTCTCCTCCCAAGCATTCACTTGAGTGCCAGGTTTAAAAATGCCAACGTTCTAATGCCAGTAGGAGTTCTGCGGGTGCTGGGGATGGTACTGGAACCCTGGGGTGGTAGTGCTCATTAAAAGCTAGTTGAATTGAGTAGTTCGCTAGCTTCCCTGCCAAGATGGATGGTGGCATCAGGACGATGATATCAAATATTAATGGGGTTGCACTAATGAAAAGAATTTTGCTGCATCGTGGCTTCTAAAACAATTCAGCTGGAAGAAGAGCAGCATGTGCAGACAAGGCAGGGTTCATCAGCAAACATGGCGAGGTTCCATCTTAGAATCATGGAAATGCAGGGCTGGAAGGGACCTTGAGAGGGCATCAAGTCCAGCCCCCTGCGCTGAGGCAGGACCAAATAAACCTAGACCATCCCTGACAGGTGTTTGTCCAATTTGTTCTTAACAACCTCCAGTGATGGGCATTCCACAACCTTCCTTGAAAGCCTCTTCCAGGGCTTAACTACCTTTAGAGTCAGAAAGCTTTTCCTAATATCTAACCTGAATCTCCCTTGCAACAGATTAAACCTCCCAAGGGATCAGAGATGGGCCTGACCTAGCAGCTCAGCTCTCCACCCTTTTTGTGATGCAGGATCGTTCCCTGCAGCATAATCCTCAGTGCTTGCCCCAGTCCAGATTAAAGGACCAAGGAATGTCTTCCATAGATATCTCATCCTGAAGAAGCATCTCCTATTATTACTAGTGGGAATGCTTACTAGTGCTGGTGATTTTTACAGCCCAGACAGGATGCACAGCCCCAGCACAGCCCCCTGCCACGTGAGCTATCTTCATTCTCAGTTTTCCTTTGCTCAGCTTCATCCCACTTCTCCTAGTTCTTCCTGTAAGGCGACGAATGAAGCTAGACTGAGATGAACCGTGCTCCAATCCACTTCAGAGCGGGGGTCCCAATGAGTTCACAACATTTATTGAGAAACTGATTAGGTTCAGTTGTTGCAATTCCCATGTGCAGCTGCAATGAGACATCTCGGGATGGGTCACCACTTGTGGGGAATTCGGGACCTTAAAGCATGAGTCCATGATGTGAACTAGAGAACCCAGGCTCCTTAGCCAAAGGGTGTAGCTAGAGGACTCAAAATGTTATACGTGGCCTGTCCACTAGTGGAGGGCAGAGCGCCACATAGCCTGGGTTATGCAGGCCTGGCCTATGCCTGCCAGGATTGCTGGGGATTCTCTGGGGAGCAGAGGGGCGCATTGCCAGGCTGCTGGGGACTGGGGTGTCCTGCCCTTACCTGAAGCCCAAAGGCGAAGCTGAGGAGCTGGCAGAGGCAGACGAGGATGAGGTCGAGGAAGAGCTGCAGCCCAGTCTCGCCGAACAGGGCCATGTAGGCGCAGACGCTGACCAGCAGCAGGAGTGTGTGGCAGCGCAGACTCGGGCTCAGGCAGGCAACCACCACCCTCCACCAGCTACTGCGGTGTCTGAGGAAAAGGGAAACAAGGAGACAGGGCTGTCAATCTGCGCCCTGCAGATCGGCGTGCAGAGGGGTCTCCAGGCCCAGCACACCCCTGCCCTGAGAAGGAGAGACCCCCACTGCATTGATAAGAACGGCCATACTGGGTCAGACCAAAGTCCATCTAGCCCAGTATCCTGTCTTCCGACAGTGACAAATGCCAGGTGCTTCAGATGGAATGAACAGAAATGGTAATCATCAAGTGATCCATCCCCTGTCACCCATTCCCAGCTTCTGGCAAACAGAGGCTAGGGACACCATCCCTGCCCATCCTGGCTAATAGCCATTGATGGACCTATCCTCCATGAACTTATCTCTCTTTTTTTTTTAACCCTGTTATAGTCTTGGCCTTCACAACATCCTCTGGCAATGAGTTCCACAGGTTGACTGTGCATTGTGTGAAAAAATACTTCCTTTTGTTTGTTTTAAATCTGCTGCCTATTAATTTCATTTGGTGACCCCTAGTTCTTGTGTTCTGAGAAGGAGTAAATAACACTTCCTTATTTACTTTCTCCACACCAGTCATGATTTTATAGACCTCTATCATATCCCCCTTAGTTGTCTCTTTTACAAGCTGAAAAGTCCCAATCTTATTAATCACTCCTCCTACGGAAGCCGTTCCATACCCCTAATCATTTTTGTTACTCTTTTCTGAACCTTTTCAAATTCCAAATATATCTTTTTTGAGACGGGATGACGACATCTGCATGCAGTATACAAGATGTGGGCGTACCATGGATTTATATAGAGACAATATGATATTTTCTGTCATATTATCTATTCCTTTCTTAATGATTCCTATCATTCTGTTTGCGTTTTTGACTGCCACTGCACATTGAGTGGATGTTTTCAGAGAACTATCCACAATGATTCCAAGATCTCTTTCTTGAGTGGTAACAGCTAATTTAGATCCCATCATATTGTATGTATAGTTGGGAACATATTTTCCAACGTGCATTACTTTGCATTTATCAACATTGAATTTCATCTGCCATTTTGTTGTCCAGTCATCCAGTTTTCTGAGATCCTTTTGTAGCTCTTCGCAGTCTACCTGAGACTTAATTATCTTGAGTAATTTTGTATCATCTGCAAATTTTGCCACCTCACGGTTTACCCCTTGTTCCAGATCATTTATGAATATGTTGAATAGGATGGGCCCAGTATAGACCACTGGGGGACATCACTATTTACCTCTCTCCATTCTCTTCCCTTCCCAGCCCAGGGGGTCCCTATAAAAGACTGTCCACATGGGTGGGGACTCAGCCAGCAGGGAGTAGGTGGGCACACGCTGGGGAAGTAACAGCTACGGCAGTGCCCGCCGCCTCTCCAACCAGCACTGTAGAGCTTACTGGGGAACGCAATCCAGCCCCAGTGTGGAGTGCCATTGCTGGGGAGCCTTCTGCACTGGAGGCCCTGGGTTTTACCTCAGCCAGGGCAGGCCCAGGCAGCCTGGCTCCACTGGGGTGACATGGCACCCAGGGACATCTGAGATCTGGTGGGTTTGGACGTGAACCTGCACCAGAGACGAAGCAAACCCTGACCCCACATAGGACAACATGAGAGAACCCCCTCAGATGATGTCCTCCCATGTAGATTCCATGGGCTTTAATAGGTGTGTAGGACATAGGCATGGGACAGCCCTAAGTTGTGAGTTAATAGTCATGCATCTTCCTGCTTGGGCATTATGGGTAATAGGCAATTTGCAGAGTTGCTCCCAATAGTAAAGGCACAAGAGACTAGAGAGATGGAGAGAGAAGAGGGAGGGATTGAGTAGAGAAACCTGAGGGACATCAACAGACAGGAGAGTGGGGCAGATGGGAAACCACCACAGAGACCAGATTGCAAAGCCTATGCTTCTTTGGATTCCTTTACAGCTCCTGTATAGCTAGTAGGAACCATGCACTTATGTTCGCCCACCTCCCTCACAGGGATTAGTTCTCTTACTTTCTTTTCTGGCCCATTTACAAGTGCCAGCCTGAGAGTGCCTCTCAAGAGCAGAGAGCTGTAAATTCAGTCACCTGGATTGCACATGCCAAATCTCTTCCACGAAGTTGCAAACCCCTCTGAGCAGAGCTCCGATCTGCAGGGCCATGAAGTAGAAGGTGATGTTCTCTGCGGCATGGTTCCAGGACTGCTCCATGTGATACAGGGCAAAGACGCAGAGAACAATGAAGCCCCAGGTCGCGTAGTGAGCCCTTCCCCCCCGAGGTTTGGGGATGATCAGGGAAGTTTGGACGCTGGGTCTTTCCTTTTCATGAGACATCTGCAGCAAACAGACACACCCAGACATCTTAAACACTGATAAAAACAACAGCCCAGAGGACAGTCCCAGACATTTTTAAAAAGCAGCTAGGGATGAGGCAAAGGGACAGGCACAATAAGATCTTGGATTTCTAGAGTGTTGTGAAGAATCCCAAAGCACTTCATAAACCGACACAATTTATGCATTGACCACTGACATGAAGCCATCTCTGGGGTGGTTTAGCCCTGCATGTTGCAGGGCACTGCTCCGAAATGGCTCTTTCCAAGGGACCGTGGCGTGGGGGCATGTAAGCAGGCTGGTGAAGCAACAGGGGCATGGGCAATCAGGCTGAACACAGAGCAGATCCAATAGCCCCAAATCCTGGGGCGGAGGCGGGGGGAGAAGGTGCAGCAAGAGGTGACTGCTAACCCAGCCTAGCCTGGATGAGCAGGTGCCCTCCATCCCAACTGTGTCCTACCCAGACTACTTGTCGATCCCCTGTGCAAATCCCTCTCATGCAGACTTCCCACAAGGGCTGGAATTTGGCCTATGTGCACTGATTCAGTGGGGTGGTTAGTCAGTCATCTTCCCCACAAGGGCTCAAAAATGGCCCTTAAAATGCAAGCAGTGACCTTTGAAAATCTAACCTCAAAGCTTTCTGAAGGTCCCTGAGGAGCTCTTTAAGGCCAAGTGACCCTCTGTTACCGTGGTGAGAGAGGATCAGACTGTAGGGAGCTTGTTATGGCTTTAGAGAATTCTAAAATAAATACAGAGGAATAAATTAATGAGAACCTCCATCCTCCTCCTCAAACACCAGTAGGCAGCAAGCAGCTGCCACAGAATTTTGCAGTGTTCGACTCAATACTGTTCCCAGGCAAGCAGCACTGAGGGGGCTAGACCAACATCTTGAACCTTGGATTCCTTTCCGATCTGTATGAACTCACTCAGGATCCCATGGGGGAAGTAGCAGCCTCGTTTGATCCCCTCTGAGCTAGGGGTCTCTGAAAAGACCAAATGCCAAAGCATTTGGTGAGGTCTATTGCATGAATTTAGATGGTCTATATGGGCCAAAGGTGTTAATATCACCCTGTCACTGTTTAACATTAAACAGTGTTAAGCAAGGTTTGGTATACAGAGACATTACTTTGCTTAGTATCATAGCAAACACCATTCAAGAGCTTGCTAACCTTTTATTAAAAATATAGAAAAGAAGGAAAAAACAGTTAAAGCATTTTAAATATAGAGTAGTAAGTAAAACTTATTTCAGCAACTGTTTTCTTTTTTCTTGTCTGGAGAGAGATTTTAGAAGGAAGAGAAAAAGTTAGTTGAGATGGGTTGGAGCCGTCATTGTTGCTGTTCCTGTTATAGTCGAGTCCTGTTTCCTAGAAGACAAAACACGACAAAGACACACAAAGGGGACAGAAAAGAACAGCAAAGAACAGCAAAGGTCGAAAATGCAGCTTCTGGCTCTTTGGGGTTGATATTTTTTTACAAAAATTACAAAAAAAAGTTTGGTGTTGCAATAGCTTTTGGTGGTTTGAGATTTAATGTATAGTTAATGCTGTAGCAGCTTTTAATTAAGTTGGCATTTTGTTAACAAGAAGGCGGTCATTTAAGATGTCATTTTAGTAAAAGATTGCTTTAGCAATCTAACAATTTAAAACATTATTTTCCTACTTTTCCTTTTTAAAAATACTTTTACATTAAACCTTTAAAGTTTTTACTGTTTATAAAAACTACAAACCCTAAAATAAAGGGGGAAAAAAGAAAACAAAACAAAGCATTTGTTAAAAAAAGTAAAAGAATTTATAACTTTAAAAAAAAACCCTTTTAAAAAACAAAAGCATTAATGGTTCGCTTTGCAAACTAGAATAACACATGTAAAATTTTAAAACAAATTTTTGTTTTAAATCAGCTTTAAAAACCAATTGCTTATTTGCTAAGCTATTAGCTACTGGGTATGTATTAACCCTTTAGGCCCCATCTTGGGTGCCAAAACTGTTGCACTAATTTAGATGGACTGTATAGGCCAAAGGAGTGAATGTAACACTGTCACTGTTTAACGTTAAACAAGGTTTTGGGTTGGGTATACAGAGACTTTAGCTTGCTTAGTGCCATGGCAAACAGACCATTAAAAATCATTTTAACCTTCTATTAAAAATACAGAAAAGAAGGAAAAACAACTAATACTTTACATTTCAAATGCTTTGAGAGAGACTTATTTTAACTCCTTTTTTTTTTTTTTTTTTTTTTTTTTTTTTTTTTTTGTATTTTAGCTGGAGAGAGGTTTTTAGATGGAAAAAACACCCATGTTTGACAGTCTTTTAGATGGTGTTAAATATGATAATAACTGGGTTTTTTGGGGTGGGAGGGTGAGAAAAGAAGTTAGTTGAAATGGGCTCGAGCTGTCATTGCAATAGCTGTTAAAGTCCAATCCCATTTCCTAGAAGACAAGACAAAGATACACAAAGGGGACAGAACAGAGCAGCAAAGATCAAAAATGCCGCTTCTGTCTCTGGGGTTGATTTTTACTTGCAGCTTTACTGCTGGAGAAACACAGGCAGTTTTATTAGCTACTTTGGGACTCAGCAAACTTGTACCAGCGTTGGGCTGTTTAGGGCATTGCATTTGGCTGCCTTGGTTTGATCACAGGGTACAGCTGTGTTGCAAAACGTACACTTTTGGCTGTCCAAGCCACACTCTGGTTAGACAGAAGGAAAGGTGGGGAAGGAAAAGGACACATTGGAGGGGAGGGGCAGGGGAAAAGCCTCACAATGTCATTTGGCTTGGTTTCTTTGGCTTGGTCAGGAAATTTTTTAAGCTTAGGATGACAAGGACCTGGGGTCCCAGGACATGGCAGGGGTGACAGTCATGAAGGTGAAGCTCATGTAACACTGACAGATCCCGGTCGTCAGCAGCTCTTTCTCTCTGCCACTAGATGGGACAGAACACCACACTCCGGAGGTGTGTGGGTTACACTCCTCCAACAGTCAGTTTTTCTTTTTCTTTTTCTTTAAGAACCCAAAATGCGAGTGATAGGTGGAATAGCTCCTCCCGTAGAAGCGGCAGAAGGTCCCTAACAGTGGGGGAAGGCCCCACCCCATTCCTTCCACCCAAGACCCCGCCACGCTTGCTCTTCTCCACCCCCTCCCCTCCCATCGCTTGTCCTTATGGCTGGGAAAAAGTGGGAGGGCTCCTCCTGGCTCCCCCATTCCGGCACCCTTGCCCTCCCCTCATTATATTGTCCACCAATTACAGTAGCCCTAATTTCTGATTTTGGTTCACCGCTTGCTGGTTTTACACTTTTCTTGTTTAACAAACACAATTTTAAGTTATATTAGTAGCCTTTTTGTTTGGACTGATTTAGTTTTTGTGTGTTCCTTGTGCAACTTCTCCCATTTACACTTATCATTACAGGGTATTGTGACGTATGAATTTACATATAGTTTTTACAGTTGAGCTCACAATTAAGTTAAATTTCTAGGCCCAATTATTACAACATAGTCCCCTTTTTTAATTAATCAGTTCCCCATAGGATCAGACCTTTGTTTCGGTTCATAACACCACAATTATAAACAAAAACCTTATTTTAGTTTAAGCCCATAGAAAAACTACACCTCTACCCCGATATAATGCTGTCCTCGGGAGCCAAAAAAATCTTACCGCGTTATAGGTGAAACCGCGTTACATCAAACTTGCTTTGATCCGCTGGAGTGCACAGCCTCACCCCACCCCTGGAGCACTGCTTTACTGCGTTATATCCAAATTTGTGTTATATCAGGTCGCGTTATATCGGGGTAGAGGTGTATTTGGTTGTATTTTAAGGTTTGCAAATTTTTTATTTTAAAATTGGGATTCACAAATTGTATTTGATTAGATGTTACAAAAATATAGTTAAACTTTTTAGCTGTTAATAAAGCTAAAGTCTTATTTAACCCTTCTGCTGGGTGGAGTCGGCAGCAAGAAGGGTTAAATATCAAGGGGTTCCTCTTAACACAACCTAGTAATCTGGGAAAATTTACCACCACCCCAGAGTGCCTTTAAGAGCCAATACTTCCCCTCTCACAAGCACTGAGTGTGTGTATAACAAAAGAGAACTTTCATTAAAAGGAAAAGGGAACCAAGCATTAGTTTGGGAAAACACAACCACCACATTCACCAGCACACAACCCTAAACGAACCCAACCTCACAGCGGATTAGGCAGTGTCCTCTGCCTCAGTTTCCCACCTTGTGGTGGGAAAGTCCTACAAACAAATGTCCCTTTAACACATCACCTCCTCCCCCCCCCCGCCACTGCACCCTACTCACAGTTGGCTGTCCTTGGTTAGCAAAGACCCAGAGTTCAGAGGTGGGTTCACCTCTCACCCCAGAAAGCGGGGAAAGGCACCAAGCAATGTATGCAGTCACTGTGCGCCTCTGTAACTGGCTGTTTGCTGTTGCCTCTGCTGCCACTGCTTTACTCATACAATAAGGAGAACATTTCATTCCCCAGCTCTCAATACTGAAGTGATCTGTAACCCAGCACCAGCCAAAAGGGATCATTTTGGCAAAGCAGCTCCATCATCATGCTGCATGCATAGGCAGAGTAGGCATGACGGTGCAAACTCAGTCTATTCCTGAAGTGTCTTCCCACAGCTCATCCCTAGTTGTCAGGGAGAGCTCATTCACACCCTGCTTACACTTACAACTTATTTTATTTGTAGCTAAAACAAAGCCCTAGCTGTTGTTATATTTGTAAGATGTTTAATAACAAACCAGTTTTTGTTATTATTATTTTTTGTCTGTGCACTGAGAATGGGTAAAGATGGAAAAAGATTTTTCTTTTTTGCTGCTGATACATTTAAAGCTACACATATATACAAATTGTGAAAACTTCATGCACTAGTGGTTAGATTTGCTTATCTGGAGAAAAAGCTTTAGTGCTGATGGTATTTTTACCCACGTGTGTTGCTTTTAAAAAGGCAGCAGCAAAATGATGTTTTTTGGAATTATTTTTGTATTTGTGAGCTATTTGTAACAC